TGAGAGTGGTGCGACCATATATACACCATTGTTATTCATGAACAACCTGCTGGCATTTTATATAGCGAGCATTTATACGTATTTGCTATGCTCGATAGAGATTAACCTCAGTTTAACACGTGCCAATTTTGTGACATTGTTGCTGTTTCCACGAGGTTGACCACGATGAGGAGGAAGAAGAGCACACGCTTTTCGTTAAAGTCACCGTTATCTTTCCAAGAGCAATTGTACGTGATACACTCATTGGCCACTGTCGTCTGTTACGGTATTTCTTCTTTTATGCTCCGAAATAAATGTAATATTTCTGAGACTCGCTGAGTTTTTGCGAAATGTCATATGCGGAAGTGGGCTTCGTAGCGCTGCTACTTAGCGATTGCGCAAGGTGAAATGTTTATGAGACTCGATTAAGTGCGATAAAAGGAGATGTCCGTTCTTCTGAAGATGTCCGTCTGCAGGCCCACTGTTATGGCTTCGTGTGTAGTTTCAAAAAATAAATATTGATCTTTTTATGTGCGTTTCACTCTTCGTTCTCATGGTCAGTGCTGGTGACAGATGAAAGACGTTCGTAAAAATGCTGATGATCCTCTGAAACATGGTGCATACACAATCGTAACAGAAAATGCAAGCGGCATGTTTATGAAAAACCACTCCTCCATGAAGGACACTGTAACAGAAAGTCGCATACTTTGTTACATGGTGGCTCGCTGGTTTCTTAGCTGTCAAGTTCCAGATATATCAGAATTGGTATTGTCCGAAAAAGAGGCCAGACAGGTTCCATTGAAATCTTGCAGATGGCACCGCGATCTTTTGTTCGTACCATCAGTTTCATAAATCTTCGTTTTAGAGTTTGCTACTCCCCAGCATTAAATTTCTAAGGAACTCAAATGCATAATATATATACCATGAGCGGGGTCTTTAGTAAACTCAAGTTGCTGCATTAATTTTTCTTCATGTTCCTTCAATTTTCTGCGCAACACGCACCGTAATGATATTTAAGTGTCCGTTGGTTCAGAAATTCTACATGATGACTTGGTGAGCTGATGAGCCACCATTATGAATCCATATACACAAAACAAGGTGTCGCAACAAAGGAGCAATTCAAATGGATTAAACGTCAATGGAGACAGCTGGGTTATTCCAGGTCAAACATACCAGCTAATATGGCGACCATCTCAAACGTATCCGAAAAAAATGCGCTGATTTATTGCATTGAAAACAGTAATTGCTGAAATATATCGTGGAGAATTTTCGTTAGTTAATTGGGAGCCTCCGAAACTTTCCAGATTTTGTATGAGTGCTGCACGTAGGAAAATTTGTTCTAAGGGTATTGTTTCTTGTTGCAATACCAAATTTGGTTCACGTATTTAGCAAAGCTTTTATGTAAGTCATTCCAAGCTCAACAATATTACTCCATTTTTATTAGTCATTCGCATGTTCAGATGTTCTGCCCAAATGTTCTAGGGTTGCGTTTTCTTCATTGACAATTGCGTCTTTTATGAATCTCTCCATACGTTGTACTAAGATTACTAAAAATACATTGTGTGCTGAAAATATTTAGGCCCATCAAAGTTCTAAAACGTACGAGAAAAAAAATCAAATTTTCGCATAATCATCATTTTGTTCCCTAACGATACGGAATTTACGTCACGTGATGCTCACACTAAAATCAGCTCTATACGATATTGAAATAAAATAAAAGAAGTTGTTTGATAAGGCAAGTTTATCATTGCAAGGATGAAAATAATTTTTCAGGTTTGCCACTGATTTCTATCTTCCCATTTGGTCATGAGGCAGCTTTCTCATTAAATTCTCTATCGCGGTCGATTTGGAATCTCAAAAAAATTATTACTGCGAGAATTGTAAAAATAAAACTTGCTGTGATGAAAAAAATGGTTTGTTTGCTTTCCATTGCACTATCAAGCTGGCTTTTCACTGGATAACCCAACGGTGACCAAAACAATATATTTAAGAAATTAGTGACTTTTTTTCCTTTCAGATTAGGAACTTGAGGAGTCTGAAAATATGTTAGAGGAAAATATACATTCCGTAGAGTGAGTATTTTTAAGTCAATATTCATACAAGGTGCAGTATTGCGATGAAAAAGTACAGCCTATGAATATTTTGGCAAAATTCCAGATATTAGTATTTCCAATTTAACCTCCCAAAACCATGATATGATTATAAGAGATGCTCTAGTGGAGGGCTCCGGAAATTTCGACCACGTGGGGTTCTTTAACATGCACTTAAATCTAAGTACATGGGCCTCAAACATTTTCGCCTCCATCGAAAATGCAGCCTCCGTAGCCGTTGGGAAAATTCCTGGACGTGTAATGACAACAACATATACAGTAATATTATTGAGCTTACAATGACCTACAAAAGTGCCTCTGCTCAGCTTGTAAACTAAGTTTTGTATTGAAACAAGAAACGATGGGACGTTCTTACAACTAATTTTGTTTACCTACAACACCCAGAGGACCTTCTTGGAAATTCGGCAGGCTCGCACGTGACCAAATTAATTGCAACTGATCCACACAGTTTTTTTAATACATCTGATATGGTCAACAAAATGGTCAGTAAAATTGGCGTAGAAGGAACAAGCTAGGACTGTGCTCAGGCAGTGTTGCATAATTAATTTTGGGGTTTCACGTCCTAAGGAAGACGTAATTGTGATGCATGAGGCTGTGGGAGACTCCGTATAAATTGGGACTACATTGGACCACATTGGTCCAAACCTGCACCTAAATCTACTTACACGATGATTTTTGCCTTTCAGTTTAATACAAATGGGACCACCATGGCCGGATATCAACGCCACGCGTTCTTGCCTAAAGGGTAACTAAAATCAAATAACAATATAAGTCAGAGTGAAAGCTAGATGCATGAAAACGTCTAAAACGACAACAGTATCAACAGCAGCACACTACTCACCGAGAAATTAATGTAAATGCACGAGAACACATGCGCTACAACACTCGCAAAATCATCTCGATGCCGTTCGAACAACAGCCGACAATTAATCACCAGACATCCAACTACCTTCACTTAATAAGGAGCCTTCAGTGCATCAACACACGTAATGAAATGCTGCTTGTCCCTTTATGTTTGATTCATAAAAAAGGAACTACGGACATTTTTTAGAGAATGGCGCGAATGATTGAAAAGTTAAATTTTCACCTCGTTAAGCTGCACAAGTCGTGCCATCTAGCGGGGCCCAGTCGAACAACGCACGTCTGCCATCTCGGAGCCGATGGCAGAAAATTCATGAATGGATGTTGTTGCTTCAGTGGTTCCCGCTGCTTCCGTTCTGCTGCTAATAATGTCTGCGACCGCGCAGTAAAGCCGGACAACATTGTGCATGGCAACAGTGACGTGGGACTTTCTGTTTGAAATGGGTAATTTGAAGTGTGCTTACCCGATGCGACTAAAACGTGATTTCATTTTTTTATTTCAAAATAAGCACTAGCTTGGCACAAAACTAACACTACAAGGTTTCTGGACCACTATTTCAACAATGAAAGTCGACTTAATAGAAAGAGAGAGAGAGAATAAAATGAGAGAATGGCAGGGAGGTTAACCAGAAATTGGCACAGCTGGTTTGGTACCCTGCACCCTGAGAAAGGGGAATAGGGAAGAAAGATGAGACAGAAAGCGAAAAGCCAAACAGACGCACGAAAAAGAAAAAAAGACAGCAGCGGCGCTATAGCCTATTCACTAGGCCACTACCACGCAAAAAGTTCGATAAGGCCTTCACTGATTTTCTGTGCGAAGACAGATCATGTCAGCTTTCGAGAACTGACTGTTCTGACAAGTATCTGTCGTCAAGGCGGGCTAGCGCAGCAGCTAGCGGCTGTCTTTACACGCTGTAGCGGGGGCAGTGAGAGAGAACGTGACCCATCGTTTCAAAGCTGCCGCAATGATCCCAAGCACTGTCTTTTATGCCGATTTGAAAAGCTAAAACTTTGTGTTTTTATAGTTACCTTTAGTGTCCTGCAACAGGAAAACGCGATAGCTGCTAAACCATTGCGCCAGAAATACAAGGCATATATACATAACAGCAAGACAAGTTGGACCATACAAAACCATACTGTTACACGAGCTATATATTCAGGTGGACGTAAAATATGCCGGATTGGTTGACATGACGTTCGGTGGTGTCCTTGGCTGGGGTAGCATAATTTTAATTGTGGTGGAATGCAGGAATAGTTGCATTCGGCACATCGGTGTGCTTGAAACAACCTGGATTCGGTTAATTTTATACCGGTGTCCCATACTACGGCGTCTAGTTAGTTTGTTAGAGAATAAATAAATAAATAAATAAATAATCCGTGATGGAAACTTTACGCAGCATTTTTTCCTAAATACAAATCTGTCTGCTGACGAGAACTTAGACGCAAATGAATCATTTGCCGCAGAATCAGTTGCAAACGCAAGACTGTTTGCCCAAGTACCATGCGATTGTCCTTTCATGTCTTACTATGGCAGGGAATCACTGGTTTAGTAAGCACCGTCTTACTGTTCTCGCCGCCGATAAAGTGTTTCGTTCTGGCTGCCACTTCCGATGAGTCTTACACCTGGGCTGGATAGTATGGCGGGGCAAGCGACCTCCTCGAGTGTGGGTGAGGGTGGGATGACGCGACGGCGGGCCTTCCGATGGAGCGTGGCGTACAGACAGTGTCAGCCTTGGCGGGCCCACTTTGGCCGCGTGATGAAGCCGATTCGAGCATCATAAAGACCAGGCCAGCATACCCCCTCCTCCTTGTTTCTAGTGCGGGCAGCATCAGGATAGGCTGAAAGCAGAGCGAAGAACGGCCCAGGAGTAGCTGCTATTCGTCCGAGCCTCTCGGAGTACACACCCTTCGTGGCGGCGGCCGCGTAAACACGGCGCCAGGCACCCGCCCTTCCCCCCCGCCCGAGTGTGTGAGAAGCGGCCACTTGGTCGGCCCCGAGTGGGCGCACAAGTGGGGCCTGCGCGAGTGTCCGGACCGCGGCCAAGTGCGATGTTGGCCAGCTCGGCGACGCCCTTCTCCGTCAAGGACATCCTCAACCTGAGCGACAGCGGCGTCGATGAGCTCGACCCGCAGGCACTGCTGTACCAGGCGCAGAGCCTCGAGAAGGCCTTTTTCGAGGAGGCCTGTCACGAAGGACTGCTTGACGCGGACGCACTGCTGCTGCCGGCAGCTGCCGACTCGGCGGCGGCATCGACAGCTGGCGGTGGCCAGTGCGCACCGCATCTCTGCCTGCCCTACCACGCAGCCTGTTTCGAAGGAGGTCCCGGGTTCGACCCCGGCTACGCGCAGCACGACGAGGCGCCGACGTCCCACCTGGCGCAGCACTGCGGGAGCGTCCGCACCGATATGCTCTGCCAGCAATTACCGAGTGACGCAAGTAAGAGAATGTTCTGCATGAAATGATCCGTTACTACAGGCCAAGTCTGCTTTCTGAATTCCAGAAAGTGGAAGCTATCTGCAGGGCATTCTAAAGCCGCGCCGCGACTGACACGCTTGTCACGGCGCGGCTCTTACAGTAGTTCCTGGTTGGCGAATACAAAGTTGCACATTGTTCTGTAGAGGTGTGGCTACTATGTACTCTCGTATAATGTGGGATAAGCTTAGGCCGTACGAGTTACCGTCAATGCATATTAAGGCGCACAGTTGTTCTGATAGCAAGATCCCTAAAAAAAGATGCATTCTATTGTTGGTAAAATACACAAACTTCAGCAATCAGTTGCCATATGTGCTTCTTCTAGTCTTAAGGTTGTAAAATATTCATTCATACATCGATAGGCGCTTTTTACGCTGCATGTGTCGCTCGCTTTAACCTTCACTAAACTAAGGGTATATGTTTACTACAACTCTCACCACCACGCTAAAAATTAATGCTGTCCGCATTCACCATTGAGTGAGCAAGAAATGTTATTCGGAAAAAGAAAAAAGAAATCTACTCAGCAGTTTTATGTATTCTATATTGTTCTGGCCAGCTTCCGTGCACCTGATAACTAGTGTCATGTTGTTAGTCGTTAATTATTTCGCAGTGAAAGGTGGCATGAGATCCCAACACAGGTCGCATACGCCGTAGATGCCGCTGGTGCCACCGGTGTCTGTTAACACTATCGCGCGAAGTTAGAAAAAATACTAAGAAATTAAAGAACGCCAAGGACACAATGAATTTGAACGTGGGTACCATGCGGGCGAGCCCGGTATTCTACCACTGAGTTATGCCGGTGCCTAAAATGCCATGGCAAACAGACCCTAAGCAGACTTCATGTTGGAAAAAAAATCGCATTAAATTGTGTAATAAGCCATTTAAAACAGCACAAGAACAGCCAGGCGTCACACAATGTGAATTGCGTAACGAGTGGTCGTCGAACGGTACAACCCATTACAATAGGGCTATATGCATAATAATTCATCGTTGCACAAAACAACTTGCAAGTGTGCAACGGGTAGGACGCTTCACCGAAGAATGACGAAGGATGGCATAGTATATGCCTACACAAAAATATGATGACTTATGGCGTAGTGGGTACCCTGCAAGTGGGCGCGTTATCCAAATTGTTTTCAAAAAAAGCACCAAAAGGCGGCTCTTTAAGCTTTCGCCGTGACTGTGGGCCGTAATCCACGCAGACCTGGCATTTTTTTTTTGGCTTTGCTTCTACGACAACGACATTCAGAACTCCGTGGCCAGTTTTAGACCTCTGCCTTCTTCTTTCACCTTTCCCCTTGTTCAATATTTATCGGCAATCTCGCAAATAATAGTTACATGGAGTGGCCAGATGATACAGCCGTAGAACATTTTTATGAGCGAGCAGTGGAGTTTGACTTTGGCAAAGGAGTTTTGCGGAAGCCCGCAAAAGCTGGAGGTGGTTCCGCAAAAAGGGCAAAGAAAAAATTGGCAGATCCCACGTACAGTAGGATTCGATCATATGGGAAGCACAAATAAGGAAGATTGGTATGTCACTTCAAAATCAGCACACCGTTACGAGGCGGACGTAAATTATGCCGTACATGATGACCTTCATGTCAATATTATGATCTTTGGACGTGAGATTTACATTCGTCGTCCATTCATGTCACGTAACACCAAATTTGGTATACATGGAGATAGCAAAGCAGCCGCGAGCACGCTATGAGCGTAGCATGCAGTGATGTTTTACATGACATGAATATCATGACTATCATGTTTGGACGTGTCATTAACCTTTGTCGTCTATTCTTGTCACATGATACCAAATTTGGCACATGGGGAGGCAGTGAAACTGCTGCGAGTGCGCTATAGGCGCAGCATGTAGTCATGTTTTACATAACACGCATGTCATGATTATGATGTATGGACGTGTAATTTACATTCGTCGTCCATTCACGTCTCGTAATACCAAATTTGGTATATGTGAAGCTAGCGAAACGGCCGCGAGCACATGATGAACATGTTGTCAAGTTTTTGCATGACACTCATGTCATAATCATTATGTTTTGCACCAGTCATATACCTTCGTCATCCATTGATGTGACGTAACACCAGATTTGGTATATGTGAAGCTAGCGAAACGACTGCGAGCGCACCATGAGCATGGTGTGTAGTCATGACTTACATGACATGCACGTCATTATTTCAACGTAAGGGTCTTTCCCTTCTGTTTGCCATTGAGTCATGTGATACCATAACAGTTTTGCAATATGTCATGTGAATGAAACCACCGCAAGAGCAGCAAGACCATGAAATGTCAATCATGACAATCATGACATACATATCATGGTTTTCATGTTAATACTAGTCAGTTATGCTCGCTAAAAGTCGTAGGCGGCTATATATATATATATATATATATATATATATATATATATATATATATATATATATATAGATAGATAGGCTCAGGCTCAATGTCGCCGTGTATATATATATATATATATATATATATATATATATATATATATATATATATAGATAGATAGATAGATAGATAGATAGATAGATAGATAGATAGATAGATAGATAGATAGATAGATAGATAGATAGATAGATAGATGGGCTCAATGTCACCGTAGTTCGCTAAGACATGCTTCGCGTTTAAGACTGAAAAGCCATTTCACTGTGTCAAGATGGACGACCAGTGAACCTATAGCACAGCTCACACGGATAGACAAGCGTACATTCATTCATCTTCAATATATTAGTGACAACATGCCTGTGATCGCAGTGATATAAACTGATTGTTTCCATTACATGCCTAGACAGATTGTTCTCAAACGTTAACTATATACGTGATCACTGTTGAGTGGTTAAGTGACTCGGATTGGTGTGGTAAGTGACCCATACCAGCACAAGTTGAGTAGACCATTTCTTGCTTGGCTCTAAAATGTTAGCGTTAAAGTCTCCAGCCATGATTACTGAGATACAGTCATCACGGCTGATGTCCACTCCAGGCACACTTGGGTGAGCCTGGAGTGGATATCACAAGTGACAGTAGGTATAATAATTCCGCAGCAGGTCTACCCTTGGGACTGCTTCCAGGTTCGGCCTATGCTCCCTTTTGATATGGTATAGACGCACTACAACGCACAACGCAGAGGACCCTCACTATACACAGCTTCGGCATGAAATGTGATTCATCCACCCGTGTGTATAGCATCGTGCCAAAAACAATGAATGAATTTTTTCGAAATCGAGTTTGCATTTGCATTCTAATCCAGTAAGACGGCTTGTATACATAATAAATGAAAACTTTGCGTGTGTGTGATTTTTGTGCTGTGAAAGTTAGAACACATGTAAGCTACGGACGAGTCCGACAGCTATTTAGGTTCATCTGACATTCTGGTCGTATGCACATTACGTCAGTGTTCACTTAATTGTACTTGTTCTACCACATCGTCGGTGGTCCTAGTGTTTACTAACATACATACATACATACATACATACATACATACATACATACATACATACATACATACATACATACATACATACATACATACATACATACATACATACATACATACATACATACATACATACATACATACATACATACATACAAAGATCTCTATTAAAACTCCAGAGGGACTGTTTATTCACCCTTTCAATATTTTTTGAATTTACATGCTGCACTTTGGCCAAAGCTAATGAGCCATCCTAACCAGCAAAAGTTTAAGGAAGTCCTAAGAGCCCTTTCAGCCAGTCGGCGGCTCCACCACCTCGCTATTTTTTTTTTTTTTGGTTTAGCATGCTGCACTTAGGCAAACGTTAGGAATCATCCAAACCAGCATCAGGTTTTAACGAATTTTCACTACATTGTTTAAGGAGATAAAGCAACATGAAGAAGAAAACATTCTTCGTCGCTATAAAGGTGAGCGTAAACACTTGCTTTCAGCCTCTCAATAACATAAAATTTGTGTTTTGCCAGCGGTTATTACCTGCAGCTCGATACCTAAGATAGCGACCAACCAAATCACCTTGTGCGTTATAAACACAATGGAGCCAAAATAAGCATCGAGGAGTTAAACTCTATTTAAACTGAAACATCGAATTATTGGGAGTGAGCTCTTAATTTACGAACGGAAATAAATGTGAACAACATGACAACTTTTTCTTGAAAGCCGAACCCATGGTTTTAGATTGACACCTGAGACGCTCCCTGATTGAGGTACCACAGAATTTCGTACTTTATGGAGGTGTTTTTTAATGTGCACTAGATGTGAAGCCAATCAATTGTTAGCAAGCGCAAATTTAGACCAGTGCCGTTTACGCGTAATGACTTTTCAACCGAATGTCACGTAGTATTAGACGTGATATCTGACACAAACTGCTGCCGAGTAAAACTGCTGCATCATGAAATCAAAGCAGCCAGAGATGAGATCGTGCAATAAGTGAGAATAACTAATGACTGTTCAGTTCCTAAGCTTCTATATCAGGTGGAAGGCCGCCGCGGTGGCGTTGCGGCTACTGTGCTCGGCTGCTGATCCGCAGGTCGCGGATTTGATCCCGGCCGTGGGGTCGCATTTTGATGGAAGCGAAATGCTTGAGGCTCTTGTGCTATGTGATGCCAGTGCCCGTTAAAGAACACCAGGTGGTCGAAACTCTTGGAGCCCTCCACTACGGCATCTCATAATCATATCGTGCTTCTGGGACGCAAAACCCCAGGCATTATCATTACTATACCAAGTACCACACTTGTACTTGGTATAATAATCAAGACTTCAGAAAGAGTTGTCAAACAAAACATACTGATATTAATAAATTGTGTAATAAAAAAACAAAGATACGTCACTACGCCTTATGCATTATAAGTGTACCAAATGCACTCTATATGGTGCCACATCCTCAAAGATATTTTTAAAAAATCACGACATATCCACGAAGTGAATGGTGATGAGTGCGTGAAGCAGTGG